TAGCTGATATCTTTTATCTTTGTCATGATGACAGCACATAATATTTGACTAGATATTTTTTCAGATACTAGTATTCAGCTTTAAGTGACGTGTAAAGGCTTAACTAGATTAATTGGGCAAGTTAGAGTAATTAGGCAAGTCACTGTATAACAGTGGTTTGTTCAACGCAATCTCATTGCAATTCATAACTTATTGATTTAGTGGCTAATTCCAGTGTTGCCAGATGTAGCTGACTGATTCCAGCCCAAAAACTATCCAAAACCAGCCAAAATGCAAAAAAAAAACCCACCCAGTCTGAAAATCACACTAAGTAGGAGGGGGTAGTGACTGTTGCAGATATCATGTTAAGTGGAGGGGTGGGGGGGTGGGGGCGACAAAAATCACAGTAAGTGAGGGGGTGGATGGTCTCGAAAGTACATTAGAGGGGGTGGGCGTTGTTGCAAAACCACCCAAATTTATGTATTTTTTCAGCCGCACAATCGTATTCAACACTGGCTAATTCATATTTGTACGATCTAATTTGTACTTTTCAGTACGGTTTGTTCATTACCCAATGACGGTTGGTTTAGGGGTGGGGTTGGGAGCTACGCCTCCTTTTTAAAAATCATACATTTTCATACGACTGAACTCGCATGAATTTGTCTGAACTAGCCACTAAACTGACAAAACGTAAAATACTTATTAGATTAAGCTGGTTCGTTCTGTAGACAATTGAAAAAAAAAATTGCTTAAGGGGGCTGATAATATTGATCTTAAAATGGATTAAAAAAAATTAAAAAACTGCTTTTATTCTATTATTATTATTATTATTATTATTATTATTATTATTATTATTATTATAACCTCTATTTTACCAGGAAAGACACATTGATATTAAAAATCTTTTACAAGAGCGTCCTGGCCAAGATTAGGCAGTACACGTGACGAGTCACATGAGTCCAACAGACGACAAACAAAAAACAATGCACAGTTAACATGAATCACACTGACAAACTATTCAAAACATCTACAAGCCTGTGTTTCAACTTCTGAATCTTTTGTAGTCTTTTTAAAAGAATGTAGTGAAATCAAGTCTTTGAACTGCAACTGTGTTTGCAGTTTATTCCAAGCAAAACGTGCTGCGTACTTTAAAGCCTTTTTTTCGCCATCTCAGTCCGCACTTTAGGAACAGACAGTAAATAAATATCCTGTGACAGAAGACCATAGTTAAGAACAGGCTTTTTACAAATGTAATTCTGTAAATATGATGGGAGTAAACCCAGTATAGATTTGTAAACAAGGATATGCCAATGCTTGAGCTTACGAATGGACAAAGCAGACCAACCTACCCTAGTATACAGCACACAATGATGGGTTCTAGCTGAAATAAAACAAATGAGACTTTCTCCAGAAGAAAAAATATTAGCAGACATACTGTGAAAATGTCCTTGCTTTGTGAAACATCATTTGGGAAATATTTGAAAATAAAAATTCACATTTTTACTTCAGCTGTATATCACTATTTTATAGTTTTTATAGAGGTTGCGTTACTTGCGTAATAATAATAATACTAAAAAAATAATAATTATATTTGCATAATCCCAGTCTGGGGTCCGTTCTTCGTACCTCACTTAAATGATCTAAGATGATTTGGCAGATCCTGGATCTTTTAATCTTGATAACTGATCTCTGGCTAATTTGGTTCTTCAAACAAGTTCGCGAATCAGATTAGAATGTCTGGATAAACTGATCTGAGATCGCTGCGTGTGTTGTGAAGGGCAGATCTATCGATCCTCGAAATCATGATCAGCAATGCAACGATTGGCTGACGGCACAGCAGCGTAATGACATCATCTGATTAATATTCAATTATCCATGTGAGCAAAATTACATCAAATTAGCAGTAAACCGTTAAATATGACACGCAATAACCTTCCACATTTGTTGTGAGCTGCAGGCTTTACACTTTCATTTGTCAAGAGTATTCATCATGTATTTCAATGCAAATCAGTGTATTTAGCTCTACATTTAGAAAAGATTTTCTTTATTATAGTAGCTGTTTTTTTTTATCGGTGTAAAGAATAACTGGTTGTTTACAAAAGCATTTTCATATTGGTAAAGGCGTCTGCAACTTTTGTGAAGCATCAAATCACCGGCATATTAACTATCAACACATGTTTATGACTACATAAATGTATTATTGCTTTTTTATTTTTATTTTTTAAGTCATATATTGTGCATTTCTATTATCATACACAATTTGTACTAAAGCGATCTAAAAGTTCATATCAATAAGTTTTCTCTTTGCAGTCTTTGTACTTTCATTTCGAGGGTGCAGATTGCATAAGTTTATTAATGTGTATAACTTAATTTACTCAATAACTTTATTTTATTAATAACTATAACTTTATATATATATATATATATATATATATATATAGTTAAAAAATATTTACCATTTTTCCCAGTTTATATAACTACTACTGTAAGAGAATATCAGAATTCGGAACATTCAGTATTATCTTTGCTTGAACTGAGCCGATCTAATCCTGTTTATATGAATTGAACCTGCTCCCGATCAGGTTTGACCTAGCAGAATTGTTGCTATGACAACAACTCTTGGATCAGCTTTGAAGAACGAAACGATCCTGGATTGTGTCAAATCGTCAATATCCAAATCCAGCTAACTGAGTAATCCACATACGAAGAACGGACCCCAGGACTTGATGAATGTGTGTGAAGCCCAGAATGCGTTTCTCTTACTAAGCAGAGACCTGCGCTCATAACTATTGATGAGAGTAAGTGGACCACTTAAAAATGTCCTGCCCTCTTCCTCCCCCATCTTATTCCATGAAAACCTTCTCTTATGCATAATTAACAATCAGAAAACAAACATCCGAACACACCTCCAGAAAACAGAGCAGACATCACCATTACTCACTGCAATGTAGCAGAGCAGATTTCAAATACACTGCGGTAAGCTTCAAAACTTTTAATGATGAATGAATAAATACAGCGGTAACATACTGATCAGTTATCATTATTATTAACAGTACACTCTTTAAGTCAGGGGTGTTCAAACTCGGTCCTGGAGGGCCGGTGTCCTGGAGAGTTTAGCTCCAACCCTAATCAAACACACCTGAACCAGCTAATCAAGCTCTTACTAGATATACTAGAAACTTCCTAACTTGTGTGTTGAAGCAAGTTGGAGCTAAACTCAGAAAGACACGGCTCTCCAGGATTGAGTTTGGACACCGCTGCTTTGAGTACACATGAAATTAAAACTAACCATGTGATTTTGTTAGCTCACATAGCTGTGGTGAACGATTCATCTGTGCATGTCATTAAGAAAACAAGTAGTTTGCCCTTGTAATTGAAATCTGAAAATGCATGTCCTCTATTCAATTCTTAGATTAGGACTGTCTGAGGTGGCTAACATACTTTATTAGCCTGTGATAACTCTCGCTAAAGACTTTCCAGGGGTCCGTTTTTCGTACTTCGCTTAAATGATCTCAGATGATTTGACAGATCCTGGATCTGTTAATCTTGATAACTGAAGTTTATAATTAATTATTTATTTATTTATTTATAATTTAAGCCAAATTTCAAAAGTGTTATTTAATTTAGTAAAAAAAAATCTAGTAACATTAAAAAAAGAGATCAAAAAAGTTCAAGTTTCTCGTAATCTTTAAATGATAAAGTCTTCAACAAAGCTCAATGCTTGAATTCTCTTATGGGAATATATATCCCACTGATGAGTTTTTCTTCTCTAAGACTTTAATCTTGCTGGTCTCAGGGGATTAACACTGATTTACCATAATGCTCTGCTCAATTATTCAGCATGATCAGCACACCTTCATTACACCCATCAATGAGTTCTCCCCTGAACATAAGCTCTGATCAACATAAATGTGACTCCGGTGAATGTTTCTGCTGCTCTACTAGTAGTAATATAATAATATTTCAAGAGTTCGTTCTTAGCTGATGATTGATAAATAGTGTGCTTGGCATGCTGTCCCAGCAGAGCTCGGAAAATCCTCAAACCTGTGGCTCCCTTCCGTTTCATTGGGAGAGTGTGTAGTCTGAGCTTAGGTAGGTCTCGAGAGCTCCCCCAAATGGATTCAGTCATTTATTTTCCTCCAGCTTATTCCTTTGTTTATCAGAGGTTGTCACAGCGGAATGAACCGCTAACTATTCCAGCATATGTTTTACACAGCGGATGCCCTTCCATCCATAACCCAATACTAAGAAACACCCATAAACTCTCGCACCAATATACTACAGACAATTTAGCTTATTCAATTCATGTTTTTGGACTTTGGGGGAAACCGAAGCACCCGGAGGAAACAAACGCGAGACCCTCATGCTGGGAAATTTATTTTTAGTTACATTTTTTTTATTTATTTATCAATTTTTATTGTGTTTTTGACAAAAGGTACAGTACATTAAAGGTATTCAATTACAAAGGTATTTTCGTTTATTCTTTTTTTTTTAACCATACATAAATTTAAAAAAAGAGACAAATTAACATAATAAAAATTTTTATGAAAAGGAAATGCATTAAATAAAAAATATATTAATAATAAAAATGAAAATAAAATAAAAATAAATTTACCAAAAAAAATAAATAAATTAAAAATTAAATGAATAAATTTAAAAAACAACCCAAAAAAAATAATAATAAAATAAAAAAAGAGTGGGTGGGGGTGGGATTGGGAATTTATGGTAGGAGGAGTAAAAAAAATTTTTTTTCATAGAAATTTAAACATATCTTCAGGTTTGTCAATACTTATAAAAACGAATAACAACTGAACTTTACATATTCAGGGTTTATTTAATTTCCTTTTATACCTGTTTATCTTTGTTAAAACAAAAAAGCCAATATTATTGACATCCTAACATTTCTATACAAATAAGTGATTAATAAACAACTTCCCCTGAACAAAAGCCTTAATCAACATAAACGTGCTCTGCTGAATGTTTCTGATAAAGCAGAAGGATGTTTTAGTGCTGTTTCTGACCTCTCATGGTGATGCTGGAGGGCTCTGGGAACAGCGGGATGAGGAGGAGGAAGAGGAGGTAGATGAAGGACAGCCCATTGAACCTGAACAGACATGCTGTGGAGACAAAACAAACACACAGAAACACATGTTAGAGCATTTATAGCATATATAAGTAGATTTTGATCAATTACTTACAGGTGCTGGTAGGGAAATAGTAAATGAGCAGGGAAAGAACAATAGGTATTGCGCTGGACCAGAAATATTAAATGACTGGCAGAAACAAAATAAAATAATAAAAGACAAAAATTACAATACACAAATTAAAACAAAATAAAAACAATAAAAACTAAATAAAACAATAATAATTTTTATTAAAAATAAAAATGTATAAAAAATAAAACTGAAAATATATAAAAATAAAAAAACATGAAACTATAAAAAATAAAAAAATAAATTAAATTAAAATAAATTAAAGCACATAAACGCATGTTAAAAAATTACAGCTATGTTCATTTATAAATATATTTGAATGAATTAACCTGAACAGATATGCTGTGGAGTGAAAATAAACACACCGAATTGCATGCTTGAGAATTGCTGACATATGACAATAAATTAATTTTAATAAATTAATGAAGAAAAGGTGCACAACGGTAAATAGTAAATGAGCAGGGAAAGAAAAATTGGTTAAACTGCATCAGAAATATAAAATGAAAATTGCCATTAATACTGTATATTAAATGGTTTTTAAAAATGTGTTAAATAATGCATTGGCAGAACAAAAAGAAAAGGAAAAGAAAACAAAAAACATAACACACACACAAAAAAAAACAATGCTTGGGTATAAACTGTCATACATTCTTCACAACTGTATAAGCCTATGGTAATTATTTTGCACTTTGATATTTCAGAACAAATAAATAACAATATACTATGCACAATGTTTGCAAACAAACAAACAAATAAACAAATATATAAATAAATAAATCACTGCATATTTTATTAAAAAGGATGCAAGTAATGCACATAGGGGAGGTAATATTATATATTATTATATTAATATTAATATATCATTATAATAAGTAGTATTTGGATTATATTTATTAATAATTCATTTAAATACATTTGAGTAATATTTGATTTTTTTTTTTAAAAACTAATAATTTTTTTTAAGAATTTCACATTTTGGTTTTCCATGAATTTTTTGCAGTGAAAAAAAAACATTATTTAATAAAATTAAATAAATGAAATTGATAAAATTTGAACATATCTTTAGGTTTGTCAATAAATAAATAAAAAACAATTGATCTTCACATATTCAGGTTTTATTTAAATTAGTAAATATTCAAATTTACTTCTATACGCGTTTATCTGTAAAACAGTGAATAAATAGAGCATTCGTTTTATTGTAATTACACATCTTTGTCATTTACACATCTTAACATCATAACACTTGTAAATATTTAAGCGATGATCAATAAACAAATAAAATTCTATCCTCTGGTTTCCATAAAGTTTGCATTTGCCTTTATCATAACACATTATTCACATTATTTCTGTTTTAAATAAGAACAGACCTGTGAGAAAAATCAGTTCAAGTCAGATCAGGTCAAATTACAGCGTCTTGTTTACAGGCTTCAAGTCCTTTCAGACCTTTAGGCTCCGTCTGTGTTTTTCAGAGAGTTTTCCACAGTCTATCTGCTCTGGTCTTCTCTTTCCATCAACTAATTCATCCTTCATTAAAGCTCTTTCCAAAACACTAGTGGCATGGCTTGATTTTAATAATCAGAGTGACGGAACAGCATCTGAAGACCCCCTTTTGACCTGAATATGCAGATGCTGTGAATATTAAACACGTTTATTAAAAAGCTCAGCAGAATAGTCCAACATCAAAAGAAAAGGCCAACAACAACAAAACTATCATTCCATCACCATTTACTAACAGCCAATTATACTGTTAAACAGCCAATGTGTCTCTATTCCCCACTATACGAACAACATATGAGACAAATAACATAATAATGACAATAAAAAGCAGTAAAAAGTTGAAGCGCATAGATCACAGCCACAAGAACTTTCCACTGCAATTAACAGAATCCAGTCTTCAATATTAAACCACACCGGCATGCAATGTAGGTTTAATGTCATAACATGATAAAAGTCATCTCATATCCTGATAATGATATATGCAATGTATAAAGTAGATCTGACAGGTTTTTTAGCAGCCCAATGTAAACTGAAGCTCCGTTGTGCTGCATAAGACTGATGGATTTTATTCTACAAAAACCCCCATACTAGATGTACATTATCCTGCTTATTACTTATATTACTTGCCATAAAACATCAACATTTAACACAAAACATTGTTCTGAGGTGTAATAGTTTATTAATTCTTTAATTAAACACAAAACTGACAGAAACAAAAACAGCTGATGGAGTATACACTAACCTGTGCATTTTTCAGTCACAAGATGGCACCAAAAAGTCAGAAAACGCAAAGCTGAGAGACACAAGAACAACTGATGGAGTATACACTAACATGTGCATTACTCAGACACAAGATGGCACCAAACAGACAAAAATACAAAGCTGGCAAAAACTAAAACAGCTGATGGAGTATACACTAACCTGTACATTATTCAGCCACAAGATGGCACCAAACAGACAAAAATACAAAGCTGACAGAAACTAAAACAGCTGATGGAGTATACACTAACCTGAACATTATTCAGCCACAAGATGGTGACAAATAGTCAAAAACGCAAAGCTTACAGAAACTAAATCAGCTGATGGAGTATACACTAACCTGAACATTATTCAGTCACAAGATGGAACATAACAGTCAGAAAATGCAAAGGTGACAGAAACTAAAACAGCTGACGGAGTATACACTAACCTGCACAATATTCAGATGGAAGATGGAGCTAAACAATCAATAACACAAAGCTGACAGATACTAAAACAGCTGATGATATATACACTAATCTACACATTATTCACACACAAGATGGTGCAAAACAGCAAGAAAACACAAAGCTGAATAAAACGAAAACAGCTGATGGAGTATACACTAACCTGTGCATTATTTAGTCACAAGATAGCACCAAAAAGTCAGAAAACGCAAAGCTGACAGAAACTAAAACAGCTGATGGAGTATACACTAATCTGCACATTATTCAGCCACAAGATGGTGACAAATAGTCACAAATGCAAAGCTGACAGACACAAAAACAGCTGATGGAGTATACACTAACCTGTACATTATTCAGCCACAAGATGGTGACAAATAGTCAAAAACGCAAAGCTTACAGAAACTAAATCAGCTGATGGAGTATACACTAACCTGAACATTATTCAGTCACAAGATGGAACATAACAGTCAGAAAATGCAAAGGTGACAGAAACTAAAACAGCTGACGGAGTATACACTAACCTGCACAATATTCAGATGGAAGATGGAGCTAAACAATCAATAACACAAAGCTGACAGATACTAAAACAGCTGATGATATATACACTAATCTACACATTATTCAGACACAAGATGGTGCAAAACAGCAAGAAAACACAAAGCTGAATAAAACGAAAACAGCTGATGGAGTATTCAATAACCTGCACATTATTCAGACACAAGATGGTGCTAAACAATCAAAAACAAAAAGCTAACAGAAACTAAAACAGCTGATGGAGTATACACTAACCTGTGCATTATTCAGTCACAAGATGGCACCAAAAAGTCAGAAAACGCAAAGCTGACAGAAACTAAAACAGCTGATGGAGTATACACTAACATGTGCATTACTCAGACACAAGATGGTGCCAAACAGACAAAAATACAAAATTGACAGAAACTAAAACAGCTGATGGAGTATACACTAACCTGTACATTATTCAGCCACAAGATGGTGACAAACAGTCAAAAATGCAAAGCTGACAGACACAAAAACAGCTGATGGAGTATACACTAACCTGCGCATTATTTAGTCACAAGATGGTGCCAAACAATCAAAAACACAAAGCTGACAGAAACTAAAACAGCTGATGGAGTATACACTAACCTGCACAATATTCAGATGGAAGATGGCCTTAAACAATAACACAAAGCTGACAAACTAAAACAGCTGATGGAGTATACACTAATCTACACATTATTCAGACACAAGATGGTGCAAAACAGCAAGAAAACGCAAAGCTGAATGAAACGAAAACAGCTGATGGAGTATTCAATAACCTGAACATTATTCAGACACAAGATGGTGCTAAACAATCAAAAATGTATGTCTGCTAATATTTTTTCTTCTGGAGAAAGTCTTATTTGTTTTATTTAGACTAGAAAAAAAGCTGTTTTAATTAAAAAAAAAAAAAAAAAAAAACATTTTAGGGACAAAATTATTAGCCCCTTTAAGCTATTCCTTTTTTCGATAGTCTACAGAACAAACAATCGTCATACAATAGCTTGCCTAATTACCCTAACCTGCCTAGTTTACCTAATTAACCTATTTAAGCCTTTAAATGTCACTTTAAGCTGTATAGAAGTGTCTTAAAAATATCAAGTCAAATATTATTTACTTGCATCATTGCAAAGATAAAATTAAAGTTATATAAAAAGTAAATAAAAAGTAATTAGAAATGAGTTATTAGAACTATTACGTTTAAAAATGTGTTAAACAGAAACTGGTGAAAAAAATAAACTAGGAGCCAAAAATTCTGGGAGGCTAATAATTCTGTCTTCAACTGTAGATATCAGCTAAAATCAGTTTTGTCTTCCTAATTATTATTTCAGACCCATAAAGAGAATTACTGCTAGATAGTGATCACCCCCGTCATGCATCAGCAAACTAAAGCCCGACAAAGCCCTGACCTTACTGTATAAACAGTGTTCCACCAGATCCTGTATATCAGACAGTATAGTTTACTGTGAACTCATTTTATTACGGTAGAATAACACAGAAATCGAATAATACCAACTTCAATCTCTTTCCGAAGCTCCGACGTCTGCTTTGAGAAACTGTCTATTACAACTGTCAATCAAGATGACACATCAAATTAATGCTAAAAGCATAAATGAAAGCATGAAAATGGCGACCTAACGGCCGAGACCTTGGCACACTTTA